CTACTTGACAAAAATCAACACCAGGGCGAGCCGAAATACACAAAGTGAAAAAAAGAACATAAGTCTTAGGAACGTCCTGCTAGACAACAAGGCGAGAACAAAAGTTTTGAAAACATAACGTTAAGAATGAGAGAGGCGTCTGCGTGTTCGGAGGAAAAAATTTTCCAGATCTTTTATCATTATGGTGAACTGTCCATTTATGGAACAATTTTTCATTTTATGTTAAAGAAAAGTTCGTGTCTAAATCTTTCGTTAACTTCATTTGCATAATTATTAGACTAGATTTGTTCCTTTTTCGTTCTCTGTAAGAAAGGTCCTGGAACTTAAGCTCCCAAATTGTTCTTCGACAGAAAGTTCCTTACAATTTTGTTCTCGTTTTTTTCTTTGCCAAAACGTTCAGAAGAAATTTGTTAGCATTTTGTTTTCTTAGAAATGTTCCCGAAAGTATTGTTCGCATATTGTTCTCTCTGGGAACGTGGGAATGAGAACATTCTCGTCAGTTTTGTTCTCAATTTGGTTTGGTTTTGACGCGTTCTTGGGAACAAAACTACGAGAACAAAAAAAAAGGTTCGTCGTACACCCCTGAGTCTGAAGTATTTTTGCAAAACGTTACCTTTTTTTGCCAAACCTAGGTAGTGTTGCCAGTTTAGCTAGTTTGTAGCAAGATTTATATATTAAGTTCGACGTTAAGCTATTAGCTTTTTTTTTAAAATCGGGCTAGTTATTTTAGCTTTATATTTTTAAATTTTTTTACAATTTCCCCATTTTTTACACGGGGTTTTATCATTTGAATGAATATCAAACAGTACAAAAATTGGTATTCTGACATGCCTAAATAATCCCTCTTCGTTATATCGATTGCTCCTTACGACAAAAACAAACAAAAATTCGAAACACACGAAGCAATCAATATGCTTACGAAACTATAGTAAAACTGCGTTTGTAGATTTTCCTTCTAGCGTCAGAATTCTTTTTTAGAAAGACCCTGTAATTTCCGGGATATGATTGCTTCAAAAAATTATTTAAAAAAATTCAGTACAATGTAGAATAACAATATGGGTAGCAAATTAAAGATAAAATTCGGAAATTACGAGGATTGGAAATGCCATTTTATTTAATATAACTTTCTTAAGCTTCTAAAGTTAGAAGGACGAAATTTGAGAATGAGGTTGGGTGTATCTTAGTCCTTAACATCTATATTTTCAGTTCTTACTTATTCTTAATAAAGAAAAAAATTTATCTACCTTAGTTCTATAGATTTTGCTCTTTAATTTGGTTTTTGAAATAATTTTTTAAAATAATCATATTTTGCAAATTTCAAATTCCTTTAAAAAATCCTGAAATATAAGGGCTGTTCATTCACAATTAAATGCACACGGTTGCCATGGCAACAAGCAAAAAATTTACAAATGCAATTCCAACTGCAAATCCAAGACCATTTCCACAACATCGTGAACAGCCCTATAGTAATATCTTCACTGATTCGCCGGAATGGAAAGGTAATACAACTGTGAAACTAAACCAAGGTCCAAGGATTTGAGCTAAAATTGTATTAATATTCACTAGTCACAATTGTAAGGTATTTTGCTACTCCAATTCAATGTATGTAAATATTTAAGTTTGAAGAGTATGACTTGCCGTTCCTTAAATGAAATGTCATAGGATTGGCCCGCCACACCAATTCCTTAATTTTTGTAGTGACCGCGACTACGCCTCTTGATGGACCTGTCCGATAATCCGGACGAGAGTCGCAAACAGAGAGGGAGTTAAAGGTATACGTGAACGAATGAAAACGCGTTAGCTAATGTGTATACTAAAATTGTCTTTATTGAAGTTAGTTGTCCGAAGCAATATTGGACGAACCAACTCAATCGACGCTAAGACGAGAAGTCGCGTTTTACAATGCTATCACGAGTATTTATAGGCGATCATGACGATGCTGATCGTCAGTGATGCATTTTAGAGCTTTCTTACAAACTAAACAGAGTTGCATTTTACATAACATTACAAAGAGTTTAGACGTAAAACATTGAACAGTATGCTATTAAATGAAATAAAATACAAGCAATGAATATACATATGAATGACGGTCGTTACAGTCTCCCCCTAGGATACTGAAATCGACCCGACGAAGTATCCTAAGCTTTCTTCCGGGGACGTCCTCGGCGCCGTATCATGTTAATGGGACCCTCAGGAACATCGCTGGAACTGCGATATGGTGTCAGTGATGACGCATGGTATGTGCCCAATGGATATTGGAGGTTGTCCTCATGAGCAATCACGTAGGAAGTCGCACCTTCTTTGCCAATAATGATATAGGGCCCATCTCGTCGTGGAACAAATTTCGATGTTACACCCTTGGCAGCATTACTCAAAACATGCGTGGTCACAAGGACCTTGGAACCAATCTCTAGTCCCTCTTGGTCACGTCGTTGTGGATTGGTGATGCCTTTATTAGCATCTTGCTGTTTGCATTCGCATTCTCTCGCAGCTTGGAACACCTCCGCGAGAGTGCTTAGATACGGTGTGATTTCTGCAATGAAGTTCTCTGAATGGATGATAGCTCTCAAATCATGCTGGACGTCATCGATCGTTCTTAACTCACGCCCAAATGTGAGGTATGCGGCAGTATACCCGGTACTTTGACAGCGTGTCGTATTCATGGCGAAGCGTATTGCCGGCAACTTCTCTGCCCAGTTGCGGTGTTGTCTGCCCACCAAAATTGACAACTGCGTCTTCAGGTCGCGATTCTTCCTCTCTACAGGATTCGCTTGTGGATGATATACTGGCGTGAATACTTGGCGTATATCCAGACAAAAGGCAACTTTTTGCATTATCGCTGACACGAATTGTACACCGTTGTCGCTAATGATTCGCCTTGGGACTCCATAGCGCAAGAATACCTCGTCGATGAGCGTTTTCGCACAAGTTTCAGCGGAAGCTTCTTTCAATGGAAAAAGTTCCACCCAGCGGCTTGCAACATCCTCTACTATGTAAATCCACTGCATCCCATTCGTGTCGGATGGCAATGGTCCGAACAAGTCGATGGCTAAGGCTTCAAAGCGCTGCTTGCTGGAAGTCGTCTGGTATAGGCCCATTGGCTTCAGGTTTGTTGCCTTATAGCGCTGGCAATCAGCACAATGCTTGACATGGTTCTCGACATCTTTCCGAATTCCTGGCCAATAATAACGCGATGTTATCTTGGACAAAGTTCGGTCGATTCCATAATGACCCGCTGTGTCTTTGTTGTGGTAGTGATTCAAAATTGCTGGACGCTCGGATTCGGGAACAACTAGCTGTCCCTCTTCGCTGTCTTCATCCTTGTAGCAGTAAAGTACGCCGTCGTTCATTGTGAATCCTCTCTTGGCCCAATGAGCCGCATCATCGGTATTTTCTTCGAAGCACTCGATAATAGCTTTTAGGTAGGAGTCGCTAAGTTGGCTGTCGCGGATTTCCTTCGCTCCTCGTCGCGGAAAATCAACAGCGAACGAGCATATGTGGCAGGATTCTTCGGAGTCATGTCTGGCTTCACAAGGTGGCCTTGACAACATGTCAGCCATAACATTTGTCTTCCCTGGCTTATAGTCGATGTGCAAGTTGTAGGGTTGTAAAAGCAATGCCCATCGCGCTAGGCGTCCAGTCGGTGATTTTAGCGTCATCAACCATTTAAGCGGCCGGTGGTCCGTGATTAGTGTTACCCCGGATCCCTCAATGTAGCCACGATACTTTTGGACAGCCCATACGATGGCAAGAGCTTCCCTCTCGATCGTAGAGTAGTTTTGCTCTGCTTTTGTCAATAGCCTGCTGGCATATTCTATGGGGTGTTCATCGGAACCCTCCCCCTGGATCAAAACTGCCCCTAGTGCGTAACCACTGGCATCAGTTTTAATGACGAATGGCAGGTTTTCGTCGACTTGCTTTAGGATGGGTGACGTAACCAACAGCCGTTTCAGCTCATCAAACGCAGCTTGCTGCTCATCTTTCCAAACCCAAGGAGCATTCTTTTTCGTCAGTTGCGAAAGCGGTTTTGCGATATCTGCGAATTGGTGAACAAAGCGTCTGTACCAGGAACATGACTGTAGAAAGGATAACAACTCCTTAACATTTTTAGGAGGCTTGCGCAGAGATATTGCTGTGACCTTTTGTGAATCTACTCTTATGCCATCTGGGGACAGGATGTGTCCCAAATATTTCACTTCGCGACATGCAAACCGACATTTGTCTTTATTGATCTTGAGACCAAATTGTTGTATACGGTTGAAAAGTCTACTAAGTTCTTCAAGGTGCTCTTCGAAGTTCCTTGAACATAGGATTATATCGTCCAAATATGCAAATATTGTTACGTTATTTAGAGATGCTTTGAGCCGATCGATTAATCGCTGAAACGTTGCTGGCGCGTTTCGCAATCCGAAAGGCATGCGCGTAAATTTATACATACCAAACGGTGTGACGAACGCAGTTTTGTCCTGATCTTCTTCCTTTAGGCCGATTTGCCAGTAGCCAGCCTGCAGATCCAACGTCGACATGAAATTGGTAACTTTAGCCTCATTCAGCAAGTCATCAATCCGCGGAAGAGGATACCGATCCGGCTTGGTGATGGCGTTTAGTTCTCGGTAATCGATGCAAATGCGCAGGTCGCCTGTCTTCTTGGGTACGATAACGACAGGAGCTGCCCATGGCGATTCGCATTCCACTATAACTCCAATCCTGAGCATTTTGTTTATTTCTTGTCTCAACAAAGCCTTCCGCTGCGGTGCTAGACGATATGGTGGCGAAGCAATCGGTAAATGCTCGCCCGTATCGATGCTGTGTGTGGCAAACGGTGTTGCAAATGTTGACTCTTCGAAGACTTCG